TGTTTCTGGGTCTACCGTATTCCTCAGACTGTTATGTTCATTATATTCCATATATAAGTGAGAGCATGTGGTATTTGTCTTTTTCTGCTTGGCTTATTTCACTTAGGATAATACTTTCCAGGTCCCTCCATGTCATCTCAAAGGATAAGACATCTTTCTTTCTTACCACTGCATAGTACTCCATTGTGTATATGTACCACTGCTTTTTTATTCATTCGTCTACTTGGACACTTGGGCTGTTTTCAGATCTTAGCTATTGTAAATAGTGCTGCTATGAACATGGAGGTACATATATTCTTCCTGATTGGTGTTTCAGGCTTCTTAGGGTATATTCCTAGAAGTGGGATCAATGGGTCAAATGGAAGTTCAATTTTTAATTTTTTGAGGTAACACCATATTGTTTTCCATAGTGGCTGCACCAGTCTGAATTCCCACCAGCAGTGTATTAGAGTCCCCTTTTCTCCACACCCTCACCAACACTTGTTGTTTGATGAATTGTTGATGGCGGCCATTCTGACAGGTGTGAGGTGATACCTCATTGTTGTTTTAATTTGCATCTCTCTGCTGATTAGTGATGTTGAGCATTTTTTCATATGTCTCTTGGCCATTTGTATGTAATGGCCAAATGTAATCAAATGTACAGCTAAGTTCACAATTCATAAATACAGAGCTTATTGAATTTTCATAAACTGAATACATGTATATAGCCAGCATCATGATCAGGAATCATTAGTAGCATCCTAGAAATCACTCATGTTCTTTCCTCTAATCAATATTCTCCCAAAGATAATCACTAGCCTGTGATTATATGTTATATGCTATAAGTTAGTTTTTTTTGTTTGTTTGTTTTGTTCTGTTTTTGTTTTTTCAAAAATTATTTTTATTAATTTGTTTTTGTTACAGATGTTTCTCCTTTTCCCCCATTGATGCCCTCTTTCCCATCCCCCCTCCATCCCAGCCCCAGTTTTGTTGTCTATGTCCATTGGTTATGCATACACGCATATAAGTTCTGTGGTTTATCTCTTCCCTTTCCACCCCCTCTTCTGAGATTTGTCAGTCGGTACTCTACCTCTATGTTCTGGGTCAATATTATTCACCAGTTTGTTTTAGTTCATTATATTTCACAAATAAGTGAGATCATGTGATATTTGTCTTTCTCTGCTTGGCTTGTTTCACTTAGCATAATACTCTCCAGGTCCCTCCATGTCATCTCAAAGGTTAAGAGATCTTTCTTTCTTACAGCTACATAGTATTCCATTGTGTACATGTACCACGGCTTTTTTATCCACTAATCTACTGATGTTTTTGAGTTTTATCTCAATAGAATCATACAGTATGCACTCTTTTGTGTCTAGTTCATTTCATTCAATGTTATATCTATCTGTAGTGTAACTAAGTTTTTCATTTTTATGATTCGTGTATTTTTAATGTATATAACAATAGTTCAGTGGTAGGTCCTTATAATTTATAAATAAGCATAATATTTATTGGGAATGTGTGCTCAAAATGTTTAGAGTTCCTAGATTAAAGCATGACACCACTTATATGAATATTGTGACTTTAAACCCAAGAAGGACTCACTAGCTTTGTTCAGAGAGAACCATTCATAGCTAGCATTCATTAGTAAACTATAATCTTGACCTCAGCTAGACATTTGCACACTTACATAAGCAAAACATGGTTCAGGATCTCAAGTCTATCACTAAGAGGTTATAGGGAGGAGAATGTTAATGAAAGGAGACTTGACTTGGGGTGGTGAACATACAACACAATATGCAGATGATGAGTTATAGAGTTGTACACCTGAAATATATACAATTTTATTAACCAGTGTCACCACAAAAAATTCAAGAAAAAAGAAAAGTCTATCACTAGTGGGGAAAAAAAGCAATAAACTGAAATGATTATTCCAGGCAGAATTAAGAGTCAACGAAAGAGGTACAACTAAAATGATGTAGGAGGCTAGATGAAAAATGACCAGTCTTCTAGGAAGCTAGAAAAATTCTATTAAGAGTTTTACTAGATAAACTCTGAGCCCCTTTAGCTTTTCAGTTTCCAAGATTTAATCAGATTTTTCATTACAGAAATGGGATCTTGAGTCACACAGTCTATTCATTGCATTATGTTTCAGGTTTAAAGCTGTACTGTATATAGCTCTTAACAGTCAAAAGGGGGCAGCATTCACCCTTTTTCTGAAAATCAGAAAACCCTTTGGCCACATTCCTTTCTTTCTAGGAAAAGAATACTTTAATCAGTTAGCATTTTAGAACATATACATATTAAGCCCCCCTCCGTTTTAATGGTTCATTTATAGAGATAACAACTTATTTGCACCTTCATGTCATTGAGACCAGTGTATTACACATCTGTAAATAGGACCAGGCTATCCCGGTGCCCAGAGTTCCCCTATATCTGCCTTTGTCCCATGATTGGGTGTGGCAGCCTTGCTCTGACTAAAGGGCGGTGGCTGGAATGAACAAAAGGAATCAGACCTCTACTTTTACCCTGTGAACAGGATTGCCAGGGGCAGCCTGGGGAGAAAGAAGAATGCTGTGTCTCCCCATTATTTTTTTAATTACAAATGTTTGTTTGTTTTTTTTCCTCTTAATTTTTGCCCTTCAAAAATCTTTATTTATAAGTATAAAGATTGTATTAAAGCTACATAAGTAAGATATGTGCACTATAATGTATATGACTACACTCAATCTTAGGGGCATTCTTCTCTTTATTAGCCAAGTAACCTTTAGAGTTTAAGTAATACAGAGTTGCCTGCAGTTCCTTTCTTGCAGATGCAGGAGCAGAGGGTGTGGTGGTGGAAAAATGAGAAAGGTTTAATGCTAAAGCTGTATATCTCTGTGACCTCTAACCACCAGAACACCAAAGGACTGATTCCATTTTGTTAGTTGAAACACTGATTTTAATGACTGATTTACATCGCCTCTATGTTCTACTTTATTGGTTTTCAGAAAACTGATGTTGATGGAGAAAATTCAAAATTAACTATCCCTTTCTAGATTTCATCATACTGTATATGGCTCTAAACAGCTCTCAGAATGGCTTCTTTTCTTTTTTTAAATTTAAAGTGTAGACCTTAACCAAATGTCCCTGAATGATAAAGGAGAGTTGCCCACCCATAATTAGCTTTTGTAAATATCAAGCCAAAGGTCGGAACAAAGGTCATCTGATTTCTATTTTTTGTGAAGAAAACAAGGGTTTTAGTCACTATGACTGATTTCAGACTAGTAGCTAAGGATGAGGTCATTGTTTCCTTTTAAAGCAGAGACTAGAAATGGAATGAATTTAGAAGTATTACAGAAACAATTACATTAATATTAATATCAAATAACAGCTGATAGTTTTGCAGCAGTTACAAATACCTATGATCCTTGTTTTAGATTTTGTGAAGTGCTTTGCACTGTCAGATAAGTGATGCTGGGAGAGCGGCTCTTGAGAAGATCGCTGATGGCATCACGTCACTGTGCTTCGCACTTTTGAAAGATGTCATGCCACACAAAGTTGCCATGCCACACTCCGAGTCAAAACAAGTAGTTTGGTGCATCCAGAATTTTCACAAGGCAAAAACCCCCTCAACCTTTGACTCTATTAGCATTCATTTACCAAACTAAGCAAACATTGAACAATATAAAAGGACTATAAAGCCCATGTGAGAAATGAGACAAAAAGATTTGCACTTCTGTTGAAATTAAATATTATGAAGTTGAGACTATTACCTTTTAAACCAAACAGTGAATTTAAATATGTGTGTACCGAGTGATGAGTTAGCACTTCCTCATGAGCCACAGGAAAGAGGTGGGTGATCAACTATCTTAGGTTCCCAGGGACTGAGAAAGGCTCAAGGATATGAAGCTTGCAATTTTATTTTTATTTTATATTTTTATCCTCACCGGAGGACATTTTTGCATTTATCTTCAGATAGAGCAGGAGGGAGAGAGGGAGGAAGAAAGAGAGAGGAACATCCATGTGAGAGAGACACATCGACTGGCTGCCACTCACACGACCCTGGTTGGGGCCGGGGGACAAACTGCAACTGAGGTACATGCCCTTAGCAGGAACCGAACCCGGGACTCTCTGGTCTGCGGGCAATGTTCTACCCGCTGAGCCAAACTGGCCAGGGCGAGGCTTGCAGTTTTAAAATCAGGACCATCTCAGGCAAATTGGAATAAGTTGGTCACCCTAGCTGGAAGCAATCTTTGAAGCCATCTAGTCCTAAAATCTTATTTTACAGTTGAAAAAATGAGGCCTATAGAAATGAAAAGACCTACCTAAGATGTCTGTAGAATTATTTTTCTCCTTATTCTTATCAATGTCTGGTCTTCTATCAGTTTCTCAGGTCACATAAATTTAGACCATAGGCTTATGCAATAAAAGCAAGTGGCCCTTCTCATCAAGTGGTCCTAGGATGGGCTGAACATAGAGTTGAGTGACTCAAAGAGTAGCTATTATTCTTCTTAGATTTAAAGGTCACTTGGTTGGCTGTGGGAATACCTGGCTACTCTTCTAGATGAGTGGAGGACACTCTTATCAATAGCTGAAACATTGTTCTGCACCTTTGAGTGACACTACAAAGTCCCAAAGACAGAAATGAAGCATTCACAGTCACAGAAGGGGAAAACTAGTTTCTGAGACTATACCAGGAATTAACAGTGTTTCAAAAGTGGGGGACAGGTTGCTGACACTTGTTTATTTGGGTCATAAGGAAGTAGAAAATGTAATTGGATCATTCAGCCTGATTTAGGGGCTTCATTTATAGTCACTTGGAGGAGGGTTTGCCTTTCCAAATGAGGACCATGGAGGGTAGCAATTACTTAAATGAATGAAGGGGCTGAGTGGGAGGTATTACATAGCTGTGTATTGATGAGTTAGGCAGTGGAATGGGATAAAGACTGCTTTCAGCATTTTCTTCAAGTCATTCCACAGAGATGACTGCCTGTACCAGAAAGAAAAGGAGAACTACTAACTACTTATTTCCATTCATCAAGGAGAATATTATAGAACTGAAGAAGAGAGACCAAACATAGCAAAAACATTGTACAAATAAGGTAAGACATGCTCAAAATAGGACAGATGGAGGCAAGGGTAGTCAAAGCCATGCAGAATCCTGTTATAAGACTTTTCTTCCACTGAAATAGAGAACTGTTTCTTCTACCCCTGTTTTACCTGCCAAACACATTACCCCATCTAATTTTACTGGACTCTGCTATACTCATCTTTAGTCTCAGCCTAAATATCACTCCTTAGGAAAGTCTCCCTAAACACCCTGATTCTATGTTAGGTCCCCCTGTTAAATGCCTTTATAACATTATGTACTTTGGTTTATCAAAATTTGATTCAAAAATAAAACTTAGCATAAATTAAATTATAATAATTTAATGTCTGTAATTCTGCTAGACTCTAAATTCCTTGTAGGCAGACACTCTGTGTTTCTTGGTCATTGTTGATTGAAGCTCCTGACAAATAATAAGCACTCAGTAAATGTTATTTTTCAGGTTAATGAAACAACCATTTAGCATGAGTTCAGGTTTTCAGATTTTGTATAGACTTCCTATTATATGTATCTGTAATAAGTGGAAAAATCAGTAAAATTTATTATATGAAAAAACATTTCCAATGTATGTATATAATATAATATTGCTATTATTAGAACTGGCTGTATAGAAAAACAACTGGATGGAAATGTTGGCTCTCAAACTATCTCTGGAAAGTTACTCTGAAGAAGCCTCTTTTCTGTCATTTGAACAATGAGGATGATTGTATCTACTTTAAAAGTCTCCTCTGAGGATTAAATGAAATAATACAGGACAAACATTAAGCACAATAACTAAAACATGATGTGTTTTCCATAATTACTAAGTTATTAATTTGAGTTTCCATAATTATTAGGTTATTAATTTGAGTAATTAAAAATATAGACACAGGCAAATGCCCCAAATTTCTCAAGACAGTGGAAAATGTAATGGACTATGTGACTAGAAACAGGGATTTAATTCTAGTTTTTCCACTGAGTCATCATATGACTTGATGCAAATTACAACTACCTCTAGGCCTAAATTTCTGCAAAATGAGAGATTTAAGAGGTTCTTTTAGCCCAGAGGTGTAGCTCAGTGGTTGAGGGTCGACCCATGCACCAAGAGGTTGCTGGTTCAATTCCTGGTCAGGGCACATGCCCAGGCTGTGGGCCAAATCCCCAGTGGAGGGCATGTAGGAGGCAGCCAATCAATGTTCTCTCGCATCGATGTTTCTCTCTCTCTCTCCCTCTCCCTTCCTCTCTCTCTAAAATCAATAAAGAAAAACATTTTAATAAAATAAAATAGATTGTTCTTTTAGGGGCCATGGTGAGAATCAGAGTGCGGTGAATATCCTAAATTTATATGCAATTGAATGTTTACATGGTCGTTTTTAAAAGCATACCTATATCTTTCATTATATCTTGAAGAGATTGTGTTGCAAGTTGAGTTCCTGGAAAGCAGACTCTAGATGCAGATTAGGGTGCAGGTAGTATAGAAGAAAGTATCCTTAGCAATAACACCTGTTGGGGAAGGGAGAGAAACAGGATTTGGCAGAGGAAGAAGTAAGCAATCAAAGTCCTTGGCCAAACCTTCTATGGTGGATGTTTTGATAGATTCTGTGGGATAGACATTACCAATATGACCATGTCATGATTTAGAAGAGAGTGTGGTGGACACCTCTGGTACTATCTTCCCAGCCTCCCTCCCCTATGAACTATTTCTCTCATTCCATCCCTCAGTTTACAGGGTAGGTGCCATGTTCTTGCAGACTCTGCCACCTCACCACTGTTGGTTTCTCCAGGGTTCAGTATTTAACTGAAACTGAGCCAATTTGAGTCAATTTTTAAGTTTACCTGGGAAGATAGTCAATCTGTGGTGATAGGGGACAAAATGTGAAACTCAGGATCTGGCATTGCTCATGACTTCTGTGAGTGAAGGAGTTATGATGGACTTCAAAACCCACCCATGCATGTTATAACAGAATTCAGTCTTTAAGAAGTCATAACAATCCTAAATATATATGTACCTAACAGCATAATTTTAGAATCCTTGTTGATTGTCACAGCCATATGTTAATGTAGGCTCCTCTTTCTAGCTCTGTTGCTTTGGGCTGGGGAGCCTGGCATGAGGTCAAGACCCCACGCTCCTCAGCGGGTATCTTTGCAGCAGAGATATCCCTCTGGATTCTCAGCTGCTGCCTGTGAGTTCAGGACCAGCCCTTTATGTATCTCTGCCCTTCCCACCAGTCTCAATGTGGTGTCTTCTGTAAATCCCTGGTTATAAGACTTCTGTTTGGCTAGTTGTCAGTGATTATTCAGGTTGATTGTCCTATATTTTAGTTGTAATTCTAGGCTGGTTTTGGGAGGAGATGAGTGTAGCTTCCACCTCCTCTACCTCCATCTTGGATCTCCCCCTAACAACATAATTTAAAGCAATTTGGTAAAACTGGAAACAAATAGATAAATCCACAATTATAGCTGGAGAATTTAATACTCAGTAATTGAGAGAACAAGAAGACAGAAAATTGGTAAGGTATGGAAGGTTATAGAAAACATGAATACTATCAACCAACTTGAGCTAGTTGACATTTATAGAACATTCAACCCAACAACAAAAGAATATACATATTCTGTAAACACATATGGAACATTCATCAATGTAGACCATCTTCTGGGCTATAAAACAAACCTAAAGAAGTTTAAAAGATTGAAATTATATAGAGTATGTTCTCTGACTATAATGGAATTAAGCTGGGAATCCATAATAGAAAGACATGTGGATAATCCACACATATTTTGGGAAGTAAACACAACAACCTTCTAAATAATCCATGTGTTAAAAGAGGAAGTCACAAAGAAAATTAAAAAACATTTTGAACTAAATAAAAATAAGAATGCAGCCCTGGCTGGGTGGCTCAGTGGGTTGGAGCATCGTCCCATATACCAAAAAATTACAGGTTTGATTCCCAGTCAGATCACATACCTAAGTTGCCAGTTCAATCCCCAGCCAGGGTGGGTATGGGAGGTAACTGATCTCTTTCACATTTATGTTTCTCTCTCCCTTATCCCCCTACCTTCTTGTCTCTCTAAACTCAATAAACATATCTTTGGGTGAGGATTTTTAAAAATGAGTGTAATACATGAAAGTGTGTGGGACTCATCTAAGGCAGTGCTATAAGGCAGTGCTATATGTGCAATTAATAGATAAATGCTTGTATTAGAAAAGAAGAAAGGCCTCAAATTCATAATCTAAGCCTTAAGAATCTAGAAAGAGTAACAAATTAAACCTCAAAACAAACAGAGTTGAGGTAAAAATAAGGAGTAGAAATCAAAGAAATTAAAACAAAGAAAATAGAAAAAAATTAATGAAACAGAAAGCTGGTGTTTGAAAAGATCAATATAATTGATAAACTTTTACGCAGAGTGAGCAAAGCGGGGGGGGGGGGGGCGAAAAATGACTAATATCAGAAATGAAAGAAGGGACATTACTATCGATTCTACAGATATTAAAAGGGTAAGAGATTATGAACAACTCTGTGTCTATACATTCAATAATTATGATGATATCAAACAGCACAGGCAAAATTAGCTAACCTGTATAATCCTTATTTATTAAAGAAATTAGTACTTCTTACTAACCATTTAGAAAATAAATAACACCAAGTGTACACAAACTCTTCCAATAAATAGAGGGAACACTGATCGACTCATTTTACCTTGTTACCAAAACCGGACAAAAATATTACAAATAAGGAAAACTAAAAATCAATATCTCTCATGAATAGATGCTAAAATTGTCATCAAAATGTTAGAAAAGTAATCCAACAATATAGCAAAAGAATAACACATTACAACTAAGTGGGGTTTATCCTGGAAATACAAGGCTGGTTCAACATTCAAAAATCACTGTTGCCCTGGCCGGTTTGGCTCAGCGGTTAGAGCGTCAGCCTGTGGTCCTGAGAGACCCGGGTTCGGTTCCCGCTAAGGGCATGTACCTCGGTTGCAGTTTGTCCCCGGCCCTGGTCAGTTGTGCGGGTGGCAGCCACTCGATGTGTTCCTTTCACATCGATGTTTCTCTCTCTCTCTCTGTTCCTCTCTCTCCCTCCCACTCTACCTGAACAAAAAAAAATGGAAGGGTGTCCTCGGGTGAGGATAAAAAAAAAAAAAAAAAAAATCACTGTAACTCACCATATCAGCAGAGTAATGGGCAAAAAAATACATAATACTTACAATAGATGCAAAAAAGCATTTTATAAAGTATACATTGTGGTTTAAAACAACAATAATCACTCTTAGCAAACTAGGAATAGAAGGAGACTTCATCATCCAGATAAAAGGCACATACAAAAAATGTACAACTAACATCATATAGTGAATTAATAGTGAACTATCAAATGCTTTCCCCAAAGAACTGAGGAAAAAGCAATAATATCCACTCAATAATATCCACCACTTGTGTTCAACATCATGCTGGGGGTCCTATTTAATATAATAAGGCAAGATCAAGTAACTATTGATACATGCAAAACCATTGATGAATCTCAAATACAATTACCCTCACTGGAAGAAGTCAGACTCAAAAGGCTACATATTGATTTCTTATGACAATCTGGAAAAGAAAAAAATATGGGAACAAAAAACACATCAGTGGTCACCAGAGGCTGAGGTCGCAGGCAAAATTTGATTACAAAGTGTATGGATAAGTTTTAGAGGATGATAAAATCATATATTTTGTTTTGTAATGGTGGTTTCATGACTATATGTGTGTGCCACAACTTGTAGAATTGTATACAAACGGTATATTTTACTCTATGTAGATTTTAACTCAGCACACCTCACAGAGAAAAGAAAACCCACCCATAGAGAGGAAGTATGATGCAGGTTTGCCTTTAGAATAGAATTCTGGTGTTTTGTCTGTGGTTGCAATTGTTTCAGAAATTGGGATGTATCTCCAGTCTTTTTGGAGTTTGGTTATTTATATATTCTATGGATTACATGAGTGACCCAAAATATTTATAATTTAATCTTCATATT